GGGTGCTGAGGAAGGTCGTTTTTGGTGGGAAGGGTCAGGGATCAAGGTACTCGGCTCAGAGGTCTCTTCGCAAGGAAAGTGGTGGTTGGGAACTTCCTGGTGATGGGGGTTACCTGCGGTAGCTGGGTGGATTACACTGCGCACCCTCCCCCACCTCGCCTCCTTCCTTCACCCCCTCCACTCCCCGGCCGCTGTGCTGCTGCCCCGTGCCGTGTCGTGCCGTGTGTAAAACACATGCCGCGTTGTTCTTCTGGGTCACACGGGCCGTCTTGTCTCTTGTCGTACTGTGTCCTCAGGCACCATTCCCTGTACCGAGTGTAGCGGCCTGGCCTGGCAGTACTCCGTAATGCCCAACACAGAGCGCCTGTTCGGGGTCGAACGGCCGACCTGGGCGGACCGCCTGGCCCGGCTGGAAAGATACTGGTGCGCTGCACAGGTTACCATCTTAACAGTTGACTCAAGTTGTTTTTCGGGGCTAAAAAACACAGAAGAAAGGGAAGGGGGCCGGGGTTGCCGTAAAGGACACTGGATTGAGTACACTAGCCGTGGTTTGGGGGGATGCTGCGCGAAGGCGTTGGAGGGCTTCTGCTCTGCTCATCTTCTGACTAGTTGTTTGTCCATTGGTGCTGCGGCGTGCGCCTGCCCAGCGGCCCCCCCCTCTCCGGGTCAGCGCCCTTCTTGCTCACTTGTGGAGGGTGCGTGACCGGGGGGGTCCCCTTCATTGTGTGGTTGGATTGGTATACTTGCGTCGTACAGGACGCCCAAGACCCTCGCCGACCCAAGCCGTACAGGTCAGGTGCTGCCATACGGCGAGCACGGACTGCGCAGCTTGTTGGCTGCGGCGCAGGGCGGCGAAGAGGGCGACCTCGTGGATGCGGTAGTGGGCCGCGCGCCTGAAAGGTGCGAGTGGGGAGGGTGGGAAGAGGGGGGGGTAAATAATCTGTCATGTGCTGAACACCAGCTGCTGCGGTTGCTGCTATGACGTCATCCCAAAGTACCAACTTGGGCGGGAGAGGGGCCCCGGGGGCAAAGTCTGGGAATTCAGGGTTTCAGCTCCGTTTGCTCCGATTTTTCGCTTTCCTAGGGCATCGCATCGCTACAAATCCTGCGATGCGAGAAAGATTATCTTCCTCGCACGCCATGTCACCACATGACAAAATGGCAACACTGGAAATCTCCTGCAATTCCCGTGTTGCGTACGTCTTTCTTCCTCCTTGCTTGTCATGCGTGTTTCGCCCTTGGGCCCCCATCGCCCTTGCCGCCGAAATCCTAAATCCATCCCGACCCCGCGGGAGGTCGCATACCCGGCTGGGTTTTGTCCACGTCCCCAGTGCCCCCTCTGCTTCACCGCTTCACCCCGGCACGCGTTACAACACCCCCGTTCCTTGACACCGGTACCCCCCGACCCTATCCCCTCCCTCTCTCATACACACACACGCATCAAGACACTCACCACGTGTAACCCCCCCGGCGGTAACAAAACCCCTTTCGTGCGCGCCGCTGTCCCACAGCACCGCTCGATACCGACGCGACCTGGACTTGCTGGTGGCGGCTCCGGAGCTCCGAGACGCCCGACTCCGGGTGCCCGCGGGTCTCAACACTCTGGGGTTGTACCTGCAAACCAACGGACAGGAAACGGGGGGTAGCAGGTGTGTGTGGGGGGGGGGGCCCGGGAGGGGAGTCCGATGGATGGGTGTGTCTGGGGGAGCTGTTTGATCTGTAGCTTCTGGACGTCCTGTGCTTGTGATGCTGCGTAGTGGTAATGTCACGTCATGTGATGATATTGCTGTGCAGTGGCCCTGCACTAAGGTAATGGTGTGCAGCGCAGTGTGTCTCTTGCAGGGTGAAGTTAGGGATGGAGTCTTAGGTGAGGTTATAGGGTTTTGTAGTTGAGGTCTTGTCTCCCCTAGGGGGGTCATTGGTAGGATGGAATCAGGCACGTAGTACTCCTGTTGTTACCGCTGTCAACACCCATTTATGTCTTACGCGCACGCGCACACAAATGCGCACCTCTTGCGGTGCTGCAGTGATCTGGCGGCCGCCGCGTCGCCGCTGCAGCTGCCAGAGCCAGGGGGCGCGAGGCGGCAGAAGCAGCAGCGGCGGGAGGAGCTGGTGCCAAGTCGCGCGTGATTTGCATGGGAGCGGAGTGCATGAGACGCTCCTTAGGGGGAGGAGGGAGGGGGAACGGCATTCGGGTACAAGACCTGGACTTTGTCTGAGACCTGTCTGAGACTCGATTATCCGTTCTTTGGGTCTAGTTTTCGCTCGGCTAGATGTGCGGGACTGCGGCGGCCTGCGTGAGGGAAGGGGAGCACCCCGGCGACGTAACGGCTACCCAGCTCGGTGATCGATCAGTGGACCCCCCTCGCTTGCCTCCCTCCCCCAGAGGCGATATTCCTCGGGCGAAGAATACTTTGCTGGAAATTATGGCCGGGTGACACCACGCGGCATACACAGCCATACACATACACGTGCAAGTGTCCGCGGCTCTCTCGCGTCCGCGGCTGACTTTACATTCCTCGCCCTGTCGCTGTCCGTGCGGCTGATGTATGTATGTACAGATGTAAGACTGTTTATATGTGCCCTGCAGCCCTTGGCAGCAGCAGGGGTTATTGGTGCGTGGCGTCAAGGTGCGGTACGGTGTCTAAAATAGGATAATGGCTGCGGCCGAGTCGGGTGTGCAGTCAAAGGCAGCTGCTAACTCCCCTGCCACCTTATGGCGGTATGATACAGGTGTGTGTGTGTGTGGCAGTGGCATTAGCTGTGATGCAAGGCCTCATTCAGGCTCGCATGCAGAGGGGGTTGCGTACTTTTGTGCAGCAAGGGTACCTTCTCCTCCACACTTGTAGCTGGTGTTTTTCCCTGTGGCCCTAGTTTCCGTTCGCCTGGTCGCCGCCAAGTTAATACATCAGGCTTATCTTCAAGATCTTCAAGGCGGGGCTTCCACCATCTCGTTGGGCCCACTAATGCGGCCAATATTGGGGAAAGTGGGGAACAACACAGATTTGGAAGCCTTGCGACAACCTCCTGACAGCCAAGAACTGAGCGACACATAACCGAGCTGGGGGAAGGATGAAGTCCACACGGCGCGTATTTTATACCAAGGTTGCATCGGATGCTGGCAACGTCTGGGAGTTCCTCCTCCTCTTAGTCTTCGAAAAGTGACCGAGCAGCTGGCTCAACAACAACGATATGAAGCAAACCCAACAATGCTACCACAGCGCCCCCATGTTTCAAGGACGGCGCGCACATATACCAACTGGAGACACAAGTGCCCGAACACGATTGGCTGTGCTAAATGGATACCAATCCACCCACCGCAACGATTCCGACCGACAAGCCAGTCAGTCCGTCCTTCGCCTAACAAGGCCGCTGCGCCTGTAACCGACTCAGCTGTTGGCGCCCTTGCAATATCGCCTACTATGAAAGCCCACCGAAAGAAACCCCTCCTCCCTCGCCTGGCACTTCGCTTACCAGTCGGACGCTTTCTCGCGTCACCCCTCGCTTCACAGGTCTTCGCAGTCGTACAAGCATAAGCAGAAAACCGCCATTGCACGCGAAAAATAAGAATGCAGTCGCTCTTGTCCAAGCAATGTACATAGTCAAAGCTTCCTTCGTCTTGATGGCTGTGGAGTCCACCAGCTATTTCCCCCACATACACACAGTACATACATCACATATACACGTACACAGGTTTTTACCAGGGAGCATCAAACGTGCCAAAATCCGAGGCAAACTCTGTCAGTTGGACGTAGCACCTCGAAAAGATTTTATAGCAGTCAGTCGCAAGGTGGTACAAGGTGGTACACACACCAATAACGTCTTCGGCCTGGTCACATGTCTAATCTGCTTCTCCTGCGCTTGCATCTACAAAGGTAACGATAACCCAACACATGCGCGTGCGAAGGCTGATACGTGGGGTGGGATATTTCCGCACAACAGCAGAGCATGTCAGTGGCAGTCATGAAGTCCTTGGGCTTCATGAAGGTAGTCAGTCTGGGGACGGCAGGTGTTGGGGGGTTCAGGAGATCAACTCCACGCTCAACCCCCAGGGGTTCGTGTTCAACACCCCTCAACCGCGACATCTGGAACCGCCGCCGCCGCCGCCGCCGCCGCCGCAGCAGCAGCTTTCCCTGCGGCTGCCATGGCTGCAAGCCGGCGACTCGAGCGAGTCGGCATAGCCGGTGGAGCCTTGTCAGAGCCACGTAACGGACCGCTGTCCTTTCCGGAGGTTTGGCCTGCTGTTGTTGCTGCTGCTGCTGCTGCCTTGTTCGCTCCGCTCTTGCCGCCAGCCGGCTTGTTTGAGCCCCCTGCAGCCTGCAGCGCAGTACATCCCGGCACGTCGGCTGCTTTCAAGTTCCCAAGAGGAGCCGTGAGGAACGCGCGATACCAAGCAGATTTGCACAACGAAAGGTCAGATTTCCAAATGTCGACGGATAATATAGCACCCGTCCGTTAGCAAACACCCCCAAAATGTGAGGAGGATTAGGGCCGGCCAAGAACCCAAGAGCCGATTCCCCGCTCCAACCTGTTTCGTACGCCTGCTGTACTCGGGTAAACTGGTCAGCAACACTTGCTGCACCGCCTTGGCTCGCCCGGCAGCAGCGGACGACCGAGGCTGCTCGGCCACTCGTTCGCCACCCTCGGCCACTGCAGCATTACCGGCACACGCCTTCTTGGCAGGGGAGGCAGGGCCCGCCTCGCCCTCTGCAGTAAGGAATTAAAACAAAAGGACAACGGTTGGCAAGCTAGCCAGGCCGGTAAGAGGTGTTAAGCCGACAGATTAGGATCCAGAGATCCAGAATCCAGGAGGACAAAGGAGGCACACGGCACCATTATCGACGTTGGTGCTGATAGGTACTTGTCCGCGGACGACTTTGGTTTCCTAGCCCCTAGGCCCTACCAGGGCAGTAGTTGACGGATACAGAGCAAACAGCCCGCCGCGGCTTGTAAAGGCAGCAGGCCTGCCCCATTCAGCGCACCTCACTGCCGGCCCAGACTCCTCCTGGACCACACGCATCCCACCTGGTTTGCGAGCCTTCGATGGCGACTGAGGCTCCTTGTGTGGTTTGACCTTTCCGATTGAGAAGCCCAAGTTGGTGGTTAGGTTGGTGAGGCAAGGAAGCAGGAAAGAGGAAAAGAAGCCGAGTATCAGTTCCTTGCTCCGCTTCAGATTTTAGGACAATGAGTGTGCAGACAGACAGACAGGGAAGGGCACAGACATACACACAGCCGACAGCAAGGTTGAGTAGAATCGGCAAGAATAGCTGCGTGTGCCTATAGGAAGTATTTTAGAAGTTCAAGTCTTGCTCCTCAAACCCGACGCAAGGCAAGCGACCAGGGGAGGTGTGTGTGCCGACTCGACACCAAGAATGTGTATCCTTCTGCATCGCGAGTACGAGGATCGATCATCCTGTTGTGAGGATGAGCTCCATTCGAACAATCTTCGCCACACGGCCTATTGAACAGTTTTCATCCGGAGTCACCTGGACCGCGTGCGCGTCCGAACACGTCCGAACACGGACACAACTTACCCCTACGTTCCGGACCACATCACTCGAGCCGGCCGCGCGGGCAGCAGCTCCCCGCCGAAGCGTCTGATCCCGCTGCTGTGCAGGTGGCGGCAGCTGCGGCGTCTTGCATCCCTGATGGCCCTGGTGCTTTGCAGATTCCAGCACGGCCCCACTGCCCCGTGCCAACGCTGGCGGCGGCGTCGCTGCACCCGCTGCCGCATTGGCAAGAAAGTTGGCCGCCGCAGGGGCAATCTTGGTAAACACGTACGCAGTGAAGGATCGCCCGCTGCCTGTAGAACGGGACGACGACGACGACAACAACAAATATTGACCACAAAGACAACTCCCGGGCAATAGCAATATGGCACATGTGGCTGTCCAGTGCAGAGTGGAAAAACGAACGGCGGCAAGTGGACTAAAAGGAGGTGCATACGGGGGTTAAACGCACTCTCGCCCATGGCAAACGCTACCTAACGCTGTCTGCCAGTAGCACCCCCTCATCCCCCTGTTAATTGATTATTAATAAATTAACTTTCCTCAATCTCCTTACGCCATTTCATGAATTCTCTAGCCTTCTTGCCTTCTGTAGCACGCGCTAAGAAACCGAGCTTGAAGACCTCTGAGCTGGGAAGCGCTGCAGCCCTGCAAGACCCCGCCCCACCCCGAACCCCACATGCACCGTGACGAACTGACGTTTCGACAGCGCTGTCTAGAGATGCAGACATATGAGGCCCCGGTCCTATAGCATCTCAGACTCTGCCGCAGACACCCGACACGCACCCGACATTTTCACGGGGAAGCTGGCGATGAGAAGCACCGGCCCGAAGCCATAGTCCCGCATCAACGCGGCTGGCTCTTCACCTCGGATCGCACGCTGCACCACTGCTACGGCCTGAGGAAGATCCAGGGTGGCGGCACCGAGGGACCGAGAGGGGGAGGGGGAGAGAGGCAAAAACGCAAACCAGAACAGAAGGTTCGTCCACGCAAGCCCAAGGCGACTACGGTAACTACTAATGGTCACCGGTACATGGTCTATCCATTTGTATTTTACTTGTCAAGCGTTTCTGCATGAGAGGCGCTACTGTTATTTCTTGCTTCCATTAGCACACACGCGGTCGCCCGCTGCCACGCTGCGGCGCTGGCTGCGGACCTGAAGGGCTGCATGTTATGACGCCTTTTTGCTCCGCAGCAAGCGGGTGAGTGAGTGGGCTCCGGCGTGTGGGGAGGGGCTGGGAAGATCCGACAGGCAGCGGATCAATCCATTACTAAAAACCTGCACAGGCGCTGTACATCCATCCTGCCATGATGCTACCCCCAACCCCCTCAAGCACTAAGGCTAAAACCCCAACTCCAGGATGCCTCCAAGGAGGCCATCCTCAAGCCGCAAGAGTGCGCACGCCCTGCCGTGGGCAACACACAGCACAAAACAGTAGTTTTAATCTGGGTATACTCGTTCTTACACAAAGTTGCCGTGGATTCCTGAGGTGGCTCTGGGTAGATGCCGTAAACTATCCCGACTCCTCTTTTGGAAAATGTGTTTCACACCTTCCCCTCCCTCCCCTCGGCAGCCAGCAGAACCAACACCACTTTCGTAGTAATTGTTACCTCCCAGCTCCAGGGCCAGACTACGCTTACCCTTAGCGTCCTAGACGACGCGAACAGCTCCCCAAAAGCCTCCTTGCCGGAGGGAGGCACACCCTCCCAGAACGAGTATGCGTGTGTTGCTGGGTCGAGCGAGGTGACCTGGTAGGTGGAGGCCGCAGGGTGCACGCAAGGAGACAGTAATGATGGTGGCGTGGAGTCATGATGGGAATGCTGGGGGTGCAGGTCGCACAAGCTGATGGGTGCTGGTTGGATGTTTCTAAGACACCAGCCGCAGGATATGTGGAATGATGATGGTCAGTTGCGCGCTTGTTATGAGGGGGAGAGGGGGAGGGTGCGACTCGAACGGTGAACCTGTGATACCACCCCCTACTGACCCATTGGATTGTGCGAGAGAAGTGGGTGGCAAGGCTGGTTGGGCCGCATGAAGCCTGATATGCTGCTGGTAGTCGAGTGAGATTCATCTCACCGTTTCAATGGAAGAGCATATCACCGCAGGCACCACGACCGACGACGCCAGCACCCCTGTTGCGGCCGCGAGCACAACCGCACAGCTTAGTATGACAGCCACGATTCACTAAGCGCGGGTGCCTTTCCCAAGGTGCCTGACCTTGTGTGATGAGGTGCTGGGTAACGTTTTCACAGAAAGCTGCCGCTTTGTCGCATTTTATTCGGTCAAGTTCAACACCCCATGCTGAGCTGACACCGACAGAGACCATGGCATGCAGCAACGGCCTGTGCAGGTAACAACGAATGGTTATCGTAGGGGTTAAGCAGCGCCAGAAGTTTGCACAATACCTGCCAAGCCCAGCGCCAATGTCGATGAACACACTGCGACTGTCCAGCCCAGAGTTGTGCTTAAGGCAGTCCAAGACTTTTTGCATGCTAGCTTGAGTGAGACTGCCATAGAGGCCTTCAATTCCCTCTCCGCCACCAAGCTTGTTCTGAATAGACGGGACAAGCATCACTTCGTCAAGCATTTGATAAGCATGGGACGCAAAGCTGCTGCTTACTTCATACGACTGCATTAATCCATACAAAGCATCCACTTTCTGCCCACCACGATCCCGGGCCATAGCGGCCATGCTGGCGTGCCAAGCCGCGCGAGGTCAACGCGGCGAGCGGATTTCAAGAAGAACGCTGCAACAATATATAATTTCAAAGATAGCTTAATGCTGCAGAAGTGGCACTTTCAGACGTAACGCATGTTTAGCGAAAATCTGACATGCCCTTGCATGGATTTAAATTGTACGATAACAGCCATTAAGCATCTGGTTCCATCTCAACACTACTGGTCCACCACAAGGACATCCTCTTTTCCACTCCATTGGTGCAACGTGGTCTTGTGCATCCATGTCACAATCCAATCATTGGTGTCGTCTCAGGGTTCCTCGTACGGCAATGAGCGACAACTTTGTCGCTCACGTGGACAGCGCGCCCCTTGACGGATGTCCGTTGCGGAGGGGACACATGTTACTGGCCGGTACGGTCAATACAACCTGTAATGCCTAATGCTCAAAGGAAAAAATCTTTATTGGCGGTATCTTGGGTTGGTGCTATTGATCTCCCGGTTTGGGACGTAACGCACTTTGTTGTGTGCCTCGGGTAGGAGCGATAAACAGTCCGCTATGCCTGTACGGCTATTGACCGACCCGGCTGTTGGTCCCCCTTTTGTAATATAGCCTCCTGATGCCTAACTGTGTCGCTCAGTCCTGTGCGCATGCTGCAAGCGGCGTAGGGAATCCATTCGCGCGCCTTCCACGTGGCCGTCCGTGGCCACGCTACCTGGCAAGCGCGTACAGACGGGAAATGGGCCCTGCAGTAAGACCCCCATTTGGCTCTTAGATACAAGCTGCGGTCTAGATTCGTTGGAACAGTACGAAAGACTTACGACCAATACCAAACAGCAGTAAGCTTTCCAGGAGCTGTCTCATTACAATTTTCCTCGCAATTGTCCTCTCGATACAGGGTTTCGCATCGCTTCAAAGCTTGGCCACTATGTGGACTCGGAATGAGTGAAACAGCGTGCCCTAGCGACATGGAGGGGAGCCAGCTAGGCAGCGTGCAGGTCGCGATGGATGCCAGTTTGGGCCCCGGGACGGATCCCTGCCATCGAAGGAAGCAACATGACATGCGGCAGTCACGGGCATCGGACATATGGGAGGCCACGCCTTGGTTGAGTTTTTTTCTTCAGAATTTCCGACGAATGTAGTCCTGTACGCGGTTCGGAACTAATTAACTTCTAACAAGGTTTCGCACGGAATGGCGAAGGCGGCATCCCGCGTACAGCCTGATCCTGTACCTGGCGAAAATCTGCTCATGCAGGGGTACAGCGGAAGCTACATGTGTATCATGCAATAAAAAAGTCTATTCCGCGGCTCATCCACAAACTGTTTCGCAACTTTTGCAGCAAAGGAACCCAACTGTGCCTTCCGAACGCGCGAATTCCAGGTTAACTCGAAACCGTCTGGTTAACTATGCACAGAGCATGTTGCCCCGGACATCTCAGGCTACCGTTCAAGAAGCCATTACGTTGCTCTGCAGGAGGTAAGCACCCCTAAGGCGATCCGTGACTGTTCAAGGAGGTCAAAGGACATGTTGTTCCCTTAGGTAGAGAATATATTGCACCGTGAGTCAGTATGATGCCAACACATTGCATGACTATGCATCCCCTTCATGCTGTTCCGTGTTTGCAAAGGATGTCATCGTAATGACTCCGTACTCCGATGGTAAGGGCGGAGCATTTCAACCCAAACAAACGGCCGAAAAAATGCTATTGGTAATCGGCTGTTCAACAACTGATCGAAGTCACAAACGCATTGTTGCATCTGCATCTGGGACCGGCGGACCGCCGCAACCACACGTACGGTACTAGTTATTATCACAGTCAGATAAAGTTTTCCTGGCGTTAAATATCTACGTACCAACCATGGAACATCCCTTACATGATCAGTCCCTACTTTAAATACAAGCTTATCATAGGTTCCAGCGGAGTCTGCTGACAATAAATAATTTCATTTGGGCCAGCGGTTCCTCAGGGCTGGCCCAGAACTTGGGTGGCAATGGGTCAATGCTTAAGCCAGTCAGCTGATGCTCCACGGACATCGGGAGAGGGAGGTAGAGCTTGCCAAAAGGTGAAGGTCATGGACACAAAAGCGCAAGGAGACGACTGGATGCTTTGTTTTTTAATGTGTCACTCCCTTGGGTGTAACAGGTCAATAATAACGAGACCTATAAATTGACGACGATACCACAGCCTGCTGATGGCCAGTCCTCGCAGCGAATTGCTCAAGCGCTCAAGCCAGAGGACAAATGTGCCGACCTTTCCCCCTTACCCAGCAGTGCATCAGATGGTGTTCCTACACCGCAAAGCGCTGCGCACGACACGAGCGAAAATTCCGTGGCGAGAGATACGCCCTCGCAAGCTGCCAGGGCCTGCCAAGTGGACGCCCGACAACTCCATCAGCGTTCACAACAGAACCTGGATAACAAGCGGCCTGGCGCAGGGTCGTCAGCACAGCAGCAGGAACAGCAGGGCATGTCGTTGGCTGTCTTGTCGACTTGTCGCGCTTCAGGCACAGCGCCATCGCCTCAAGGCGGTCGGCGGGTAGAGCCTGAACACGAGGGATGTGCACCAACTAAGGATCCGCCGAAGGAAGGCGCCGAGTTAGATGGCGACGAAATTGTCATCGAGCAAGGCGGCTGCTGTGGCCCCGTTGGTCGCAAGGAGTTGGCCGCAAAGGACGTCGAATTTAGCGAGGCCACAAAGGAAGCGTTTAAGAAGGGACTGGCGGGCCTTCCACACGATGTATTTAGGTGCGGAGGCGCATCCTTTCGGAGCAGTTTTGGTCCCGGAGCGTTTTCCCCTATCAGCGCTCAATAACTTGAGCCATCATGCATATCCCAGCACACTTTTCCCTCAAAATGGGGGAGCCGTGGCAGCGAAGCGAACGGATGGTCTAGCACGCACCGGCCGTCTCTGAACGTGTACATGCTTTTGGGGAAATTTAGTTTTTTCCTGACGTATTGTCCTTATTATGTTTTGCCAAGGTACGGCGCTCCCCGCCCAGCCAATGAGGAAGCTCGCATGGCCACTGTGCGGGCCTTACGCACCATGGGAATGCAGGAGTGTCCGGAACTAGACCTCATCCTCAAGGTGAGCAAAATGAGCAGTGAACAAAAAAATGACATTGAGCATCCGAAATTGCAGCAGCGAGCAGGTGACACGGGGGGTGAGGAGGGGGAAAAGACGAACCACGAGCGAGTGAAGCTGCTGCCAAGGGAGGTGGGGGACGGGAAAGCAATGCGAACAACGATCCACATCGCGTGCACAGGATGATGTTAAAGAGTTGCATCGACTTTCACACCTTTTTTGATGTTGACGCCTTTGCTGTCATAAAAAAGTGTTTTTATGGGTCGGAGGAGCGGAAGAGGCGCGAGGAGAATCCGTACGAATTGGAACACTACTGTTACACACGTCAGGTTTCTTTCGGTTGACAAGTGTTTTCCTCGGGCCATAGCAATCCATAGGGAAGCTGTCCCAGTTGGCTAGCAGCCTCCGCGCTTTTGGAGTGTACCTTGCAGCCAGCGCGCCAACCCAGCTGTCATTTTCCCATCTCCAGAGTGTTGCGTGGTGCTTATCTGAGCCGAGTCCAGTTTGTGTGTTTTTGCAGGTCATTTGCCGTATTTGGCAGGCGCCCGCTGCCTGCGTGACACTGCTGGACAGCGACCACGTGTTTATCTGCAGTGCGGAGGGTGCGTGGGACCGGGGGAACCGGGGGGAAAGGGGGGAGAAAGACGAACCACGAACGAGTGAAGCTGCTGCCCGGGCAAGAGTGTACCAAGAGTAGGACTGACCAAGAGAGGGAGGGGGAGGGGGGAAAAGGGGCTACGACGAAGCACAGGCGGGGAAGGGGAAAGGGGGAAGGGAAAAGGGAATATATTACGTGCGAAAGTCCGGGAATGGCGTATGATTTCCCTCCGGCCCATTGCTCGGAGGTACTGTGTGGGCGTGTCGGCAGTTGAATCTTTGCACCTTGCATCACCATCACTACCATCACCGTTAGCATCATCATTATCATCATCAATACATCATTCCCATACATCTTTCCGTTGTGTCCCGTGTGCAGGCAACATGTCCCCCGCGCACCGCCCCTGGGCTCTCGCCATGTGCCCGTGGATGCTCCTCGGCCCCAACCCCACCGCCATGGCTGTTAACGACCTAACCGCCGATGCCCGCTTCTCCAAGTCGCTGCATGTGGCGGGGGGGACTCGGTCGTACTTGACGTCACCGCTGGTGGCGTCCAACGGCCACAGACTGGGGGCCATCTGCTTCACTGATGTGAAGCCCCGCCGGTGTGTACGGCGCGGGCGGGTGGTGGCATGGGCTGAGTAGTGGGTCGTTGTTGGGATAGGGGGAGGGGGTGTATGAACGGCATGAACGGCACTCCGTTGCGTTTCACGCCATGTCGTTAATTGCGAGGAGGAGATGTGCAGGGTCGCGTCGGGTCGGGTCGGGTCGGGTGCAGGGTGTCCTGGGTTTTTCCCGCCGTGCCTGCTCCTCCTTCCCTAATTCACCTCCCCCCCACCCCTCCCGCCGGGTAGTGCTAGTGGTAGTGGTAGCGCTCCCTTATTGACCCTTTACGGCTTTCATGTGTTATGGCTCCCTCTCCTTCCCTCCCGCCGTCAGATTTGATGTGGGGGATTGCCGGCTGATGAACAACTGCGCGGAGCTGGCAATACGGGCTCTGGAGGTAAGGGGCTGTTAGCGGGTGGGGGTGCGGGCCCTCTTGCTGTTTGAATGGACGGAGCGGGCGAGCCGGGAGGGGGGAGAGGTGCCACGGAGAGCGTCACACGAGCAATCGCCCTGTCTGTGTGCGTCTGTCTGTCTGTACGCCCGTGGGGGAGTAGGGGGGCTGGCCAATCTCCTCTTCACGCTGCTGTTCTACCGCTATTTACTTACTGGCGATCCGACGGCTTTGTTTCTTGAGCACCCTCCTACCCACCTGCTTATCGCCGTTCCTCCCCTTAACCCCTCATCCCGCAGTCCCATCTTAATGTCAAGAAGCGACTGGGTCTCACCTCGTCCCGGAAGGGAGGGGCCAAGCCACTGGGCAAGCTGCGCCGCTCTGGGTCCGGCCCTGGGGTGGCCAATGGCGCTGCTGGTGGTGGTGGCTCTGGTGGTGGTGGTGGCGCTGGGGGTGGTGGTGGCCGCCTTGAACTGTTGGATACGGATGACGGAACCTTGATGGACGAGTACGCCAGGTGAGCCGCATTTTGTTTGGTGAGGTGGGAGCTCAAGTGTTTGGTATAGAGAGTGTGTTTGTATGTTTGTCTCGAGGAAGAGAAAGGAAAGGAAACACAAGGTGAAAATAATCATCATGATCATGAAAAATAATCACGCTGATGATCATGTCGTCTTTTTTCGTGCGTCTTCCGGGGTTTTTCGTCCTTGCGGGACTCTGCACCCCCC